CAAGCAGCATGTCCATCCTCAGAGCCACCAGGGATTGGCTCTGCTGGACATGGTGGAAGCTTCCAGCAGCTTCTCACAGAAGCCACCTCTGTGGCCCCCCCAGTACCAAAAAGGGCTGAGTAAAACCAACACAACCAGCCAGTGGCTGTGTACTGTGGCACTAAACTAACCCCTAGAAGTGTTTGCCACCATATACGAGAATACACCAGGCGCTTTCTTATGCAGGCAGTGGTGACCAAGAACATGCATTGGGGGGGCATTGGGAGTCATCTCTGTCCATCAGCTAAAGGGTAGATGCAGTGTTTACTACACCACCTTTGCAGCTAGATAATATGGGTGGATGGATTTGGTGAGTTGTCTACATTACGGGTAACTGAAACTTTGTTATCTTCTCTATGTTTTTAGTTGTGACTTTTTAAAGAAAAGGTGTATTGGTGTTTTTGTGTTGTATTTGCAAATGGATCTTTTTAGTTGGCAGCCCTCAGGTTTTTGTCAAGGAGGTAGAGTATTCCATTTTACCCTACAAGAAAGTGGCGTTTTTTCCATGCAATGTCTTTCTCAAATAGTGCAAAGAGATTAAGCTATGATGGTGAGCATGTTTCCTTACAGCTCAGTCATTAAAGCTTCTTACCTCATTCTACTTTAGGCCTTGGAAGAAACTCTTGGTTCTAGTTTCAAGGGGACATAGCATGGCTTAAGACATTTTCTGAGATTGTCTGGAATAATATGCCAGCACTGGTCATCTGAGAGTGACAGCTGGACTGTCATTAGGCTGATATACTTAATGGGTGATACTCATCTCATCACACATCTTTTACTTTTCACCTTCAGTTGCCCTTGCAATTAGTGGCAAGAAATAACCTTTTTAGGGCATGACTCACTTGGGTCACTCCATATGTGTGTTTTAGGGCAAGACAAGTAAAACTCCATTGGCTAGATCTCTACTGGCTCACAAAAAAGCCAAAAGCAACTTATTGGAGGTTGACATCTGTATTACAGATTACATTTAGTCAAAGGAATCCCACTCAATTCAGTCCATTGTTGTGTGATATATTTACAAGTTAAGAAGGAAAAAATGTCCAGTTGGTAATGGTACACTGATCTGTTTCCACTATTCTGTTTATTATGTGAATCAGATTGAATTTTAGCCAAAGGACTCGAATAGAGAATTGATACAGTCAACAACCCATTTTTCACTCAACCCCCACCCCTTGCAGTCCACTAATATGAAAAAAAAAATCCCATACTTTTCAGCTGTAAATCTGAACTCAGCTTGGGGACATATACAAGGTCCCCTTGAATGAAAAGAAATTAAAGTGAGCAGAGTGCAATTTTGTTGCCAGATGATAAATTTGTCTACACCTGGTGAGTTAACACAATGCTTCTTCTTCAAAAACCACTGGCCTATGGAACTTCACAACTCCCATGGTGTAAGAAATACAACTGGAAGTTCACCAGTCCCATTGCCCTGGTAACTTAGTAGGTTATCTGTAACACTGTGGTCCCTGATCACTAGGGACCATCAAAGAGACACCCCAGGACAGAAGAACTCATGCATAAAGGGGAGAGAAAATATGTTAATGATTTTGGGGAAAATACTGTCATATATATGTTTATTCTGGGACATCAGTGAATATATATGTAAAATACAGTATATAAACAGAAACTTGCCTGTATTCAGCATGTATGACTTTAGGAGGAGCTATGCCCCTTGTGCATCTGGCCAAATAAAGAATGCTTGCTTTTCAATGTTACATTAGTATTAAAGAGTTTCTTCTTTTACTGAATTTTTTTGTAATTTTTCTGTCCAGTGTTCCTGGTTTTTTTCTGTCTGCTGGTTATGGGATAAAAGATACAGGAATCTTTTATACATCTACATCCTAATTCTCTTCAGCTTTACTGAAATGTGATCTGATGGATAGCCATAATCATCAAACTTGTGTTCCTGTGTTACAGCTGGGTAACCTGCTTTTTTAAGTATTCCACCCTGCTTTTTTAAGATGGCAACCAACTCCCGTGTGAGTTCATCACAGCCTTTCTGTTTAGAGTTGTAGTAGTAGTTGGATCTGAGCCCCAGCAAACAACTCAACAGATGTGTAAGATGTTAGTTAAATGGTTTAAAATAGTTTATATTACTTTCACTGAAGAGCTTAGTGGTAGCATTATTATGGTCTACTTCTTTTTCATGTTGAAACAACCATAACATTTACCTTGTGTTTTGGAGCCTATCATATTTTACACCTTAACTTTTGAAATTGAATGGGCATAGGGGTAAAACCTGCTTTATTGAAAATTATATGTACATGAATTCAGAAGTATAACTCTCTTGTGAATTTTGTAATTGTTTAACAATTTGGAGAGTAGTCAGTGGAGTGTAGAAGGCAAATGGCATGGCATGGGAATGCTAGGGCAAGATATCTGAGGTTTGTGTTTGGACTCTGTTAGAATTAAGTGCTATCACCTTTTTCTTCTTAGCAATGACCCCAGCTGTATTAAACACTTCAGTTTTGTTGAATTGTTCACATGTATTTTGTTGAGCTGAAAGTAGTAGCTGTTGAACATCTGTGTAAGAGTAAAGCTATATTGATTGTACATGTGAAGGCTTATCTCTTAAAAGCATCTGTGGGGAGGTTGATTCAAAGTGTCAGTGGAAAGAATTGTGCTAATCTGCAATGGCTTTTGCTGAGTACTGTGACAAAGTGGTTGTACTTGTTGGTGGGTAGGAAGATGTCATGAACAGTAAAGAAAAATCATTGCTGTTCCGTAGCAAACAACATTTTTACTGGGAAATTGCATTCTTGCTGCAGCACATGTATTTCAGTCTTAGTTTTGTTTTCCTCTGTGAACGACCAGGTTGCCTTTGCCATGGAAAGAGGAGGGAAGAGTGCTGGAGAAATTTTGTCTTGCTGTCAACAGACAAGCAAAATAATAGATAACCTGCAGCAGTGACTTCTGGTGTAGGCAAATTTATTGCTGCAGCAGCCTGGATTTCAGTGATCAGGAATACAAAGAGGCACCAATTTGTTGCCTTAGTGGTTACCAACCTGGCAGCACCATCTCTGCCCACCAACTCAAAGACCCACGCACTTGCAGCACTGCATGGCTTGTGCACTCTCAAGCTCCTCTCCTCTTCCCAGGAGAGAGCATCCTCTACTGTTGGGGCCCCCATCCTCTGCATGTCAGAGGAGTCATGCAGTGCCCATGGATCCTGGACCTGACATTTCAAACACAGGGCAGCAGACATGAAAATGACTACTGGAAAGGTAGGCCTTGGCCTTATTCCAGGGTTTCAGCTCACACCTTGGAGATGTTTTTTGGGATTTTTTTCCCTTTGTGAGATGTACCCATGCAAATATTTTGTTATGTTGGTGTAGTGGTTTTGGTTTGTCATTTTGAAATTTCACTAATTTTGAGATTTCTCGGCCAATGCACCAAAGAGTGTGGTGGGTTTTAGTGCTGGTTAATCACCAATGTACTTACTTCTTGCTGTGAGACGGGATTAGGAGAAAGGCAAAGCAGGCTCAAAACCTTAGAAGAGTATAAAGAAAATTTTAATAACAGTAACTAAAAGAAAAAAAGTAGTGTTATAGGTAAAAATGAAATATAGCCAATTAAAAAAAAATTAAAAAGAATTTATTTCGCAACTGTAATACAGTCCCGACAGCCAACAATCAAATGGACAGCATAACACTCCCGGGAGGTAAGCTGGGTGAACGTGGATCTGGCCTCTATAGCACCAAATCCCCCTCGTTCACACCGGCTGTCCCGAGGCCGTGGTTCTTATACTCTTTATTTTGTCCGTGGCAGAGTCCCTTTGTTTCTTTTTTGAGTTCTTCATATTCAAGTTGGTTCCTTTCTTCAGTCCGGGCTGCACAAAGCCTTCATCTGGAAATTGATGCCTTTCCCCAATTCCCGGAATCTGGCATTCAGAAGGCAGGTGCTGATGGCGCTGGTTATCTCAGATGTGTATCTCGTCCGGGCCATCATCTCCTGGGTGTCACTGGACACATGCCGCCATGATTGCCCATCTCCTGTGCGGCCAAAGTTCTCTTTGCATGTAAATGTTGTGGTGCCTCCTTGCCCATCTGCCACGGGTTTCGCCATCCTGGGGATGAAAACCTCCCTTCCCCTCTTTCCCTGTGCACAGACAGTTTGGTTTATATATATATATATATTTTATACACCTTTATCTCCACGAATTACTAACTATATCCTTAACAGTAGTATCAAAAAAGTATCAAAACAAACCCTTTAGAACATTTCTCTTTCCCCCACGACCTTTTCTTTTCCACTGACAAAGTAAAGAAACAAAACTTAAAATTTCCAGTCAGTTTACCACCTTTGAAATAGTCTTTCTTCAGTTCACTTAGGGAGAGAAGTCCTTTTTGTTAATGTTATGGAGACTTCTCCACAAGAGGAAAAAAAACAGTTCTCTCGTAGTTCTTAATTTCCTTTAATGGATAAAAGCCACCCACTGCCATCGTGAAGTCCCTCCTGTGAAAGCAGGGCCAGGAGACCAGCTCCTTTAAAAAGTCCTTTATTAAAAACAGCTCTTGGGTGGGGAACCCGAGGGGTGGCACACACTGCCACTGCTCCCACAGGACGACTGACGCTGAGGAGGAGAAGGAGTGCAGCTGAGGAGGAGGAGTGCAGCTTTGTCTCTTGGCAGAGCTGGGGCTTCATCCTCATGAGAGTCCAACAGTGCTGGCTTGAAGTCTAGGGGTGTCATCCAGACTGAGTTCTCCTCAATCCATGGTGACAGGACAGAATCCGGCTCTGGTAAATGGTGGGTGATTCCCTGTGGTGCAGCCAGTTTAAAACTATAGTTTATGTGCTGGTTTGTTGTTTTTGAGAGAGTCCATACCATACCAACAGCTCCTCATTAAATTCAGTCCGGGTGCAAGTCTCTCTGGGAGCAGGGGAAGTGGTTCCTGACCCAACGGAAAGGGATACAAGTACAGGGGTGCAAGTCCTTCTGGGAGCAGGAGAAGTGGTTCCCGATGGAAAGGGATACAAACACAGGGTAAGATAGTAACACTTAACAATGGCAAACAAAGGCAAATCTCAGAACTCTTAACATTCTACATTCAACAACAGACTAACACTTCCAATTAAGGTCTTATTAACTTCATCAACATTAATTAGCAATTGCCACTCTGAAAAAGAGCTCCCATCTCCAGTGTTTCATTTCTTACACCTCCCATTTTCTCCAAGCCTTCCCACAGCTTGTTGATGGGCCATGTCAGCTTATGGGGCATTGTTTTAAAGATGAGCTGTTCAAAGGCAAAAGTTCTCATTATCTATCTCTAAAATCATCCCTGGAAAGAGATCTTCTCCTGCTGGGGGCACAAGATTACTCTTCTCTCTTTCTCAGTTCAAAATTTTCATGGGATCACAGCTATTTTAATATCTGCTTATTTTAACATGGAGGCTTTTTCTCGATATTAATTTGAACCTTTTATCTCCTCATAGTTTAATGCCTTATAGGGAAAAATAGGGTTTTTTTCCATAGTTTATAAGGGGATTTCAACCCCAAGATCAAGGCATCTCCTCGTCCTACCTGTTATAAATGAAAATTGCGAGTCAGCCAATTGTAATAAAAATATGAAAAATAAAATTTATTTCGCGACCGTAGTAACAGTCCGATAGTCACCACCAAAAACGGACAGCGTATCACCCCCGGGCAGTGATGCGGGTGAACGTGGAACCTGTCTTCGCTAAGACCAGATTCTCCCCGTCCACACACACTGCTTCGAAGACACAGTTTTTATACTGTTTAATTTGCCCGCGGCTAGTAGTCCTTTTGTCTCTTTCTAAGTTTCACATATTCAAGTTGGTTTCTTTTCTCTGTCCAAGCTGCACAAAAACCTCGGCCGAGAGCGGAATCGCTGCCTTCCCGTGTTCCCGTAACCCAGGCATTCATGTCCAAGGTGCCAATGGCCCTCCAGATAGGCATCGCCCAGATTTCCCGGACCCAGGCATTCAGGGTTCGGGTGTTAATGGTCCCTTGATAGGCATCTTATCTGGTGCCATCCTTTGGGCGTAGGGTCGTTGGCCACTTCCCGTCTTGGCAGCTACACCCTCCTTCTCATGCAAATGTCCATCTGCCCGGGTTTTGCAGTGTGTCTCCAGGCTGGATTTCTTAACCTGAATGGAATGAGAGGAGAAACCCCCTTCCCCTCTTCCCTTCCCCGGGTTATTTCATTTATATTATTTGATACACCATTTATTCCCATGAATTACTACCCGTATTTCTAACAGTTTGCATACCAAAGCTCATCTCTAAGCCTCCAGGCACCCTTAATCTCAGTTAAAAAATACAATTGTTATTTCAGCTCTGACAAGTCCTAGAGAGTGCCTGCATGCTGTTACTAATGTAAAACAATTCTCCTGTTCTTCACTCTCTCACAACCTATCACTCCTGTAACTCTCCTATCACCGCAAAGTCTGAAAGGAGTTAGTTTGTTTTTTTTTTCCCATACGCAGAATTTTTTACACAATAGATTTCTGAACAAGTGTGATATGGCTGAGATTTAGAGAAACCTGTTGAGCATTTTACAGTCTGAAATTATTGAGATAACATTTGCAAGTAAGACAGAATTTCCAGATTGGCATTTTCTTCAGTTTTATTGAAAATATGTTCAACAGCAAATTTTAAAATTAATTAAGGGATATTGCAAACTAGGAAGTGGACATATTTCTTCTCTGAACACTATACCTTAAGACATTTTTACAGCTGCATATAAGATTTTATTTTTAGATTAGACTCTGTTCCTCCTAGTCATGTTTGATATTGCCTATAACTGTATTCACAGTATCTCTCAATTTCTGTTTCCAATCACCAATTCTATTTCAGGCATGGTAATTGATGCAAGATTTTTAAAAATAAAGCACCACAAACTGTTATAAATGAAAATTGCGAGTCAGCCAATTTTAATAAAAATATGAAAAATAAAATTTATTTCGCGACCGTAGTAACAGTGCGATAGCCACCACCAAAAACGGACAGCGTATCACCCCCGGGCAGTGATGCGGGTGAACGTGGAACCTGTCTTCGCTAAGACCAGATTCTCCCCGTCCACACACACTGCTTCGAAGACACAGTTTTTATACTGTTTAATTTGCCCGCGGCTAGTAGTCCTTTTGTCTCTTTCTAAGTTTCACATATTCAAGTTGGTTTCTTTTCTCTGTCCAAGCTGCACAAAAACCTCGGCCGAGAGCGGAATCGCTGTCTTCCCGTGTTCCCGTAACCCAGGCATTCATGTCCAAGGTGCCAATGGCCCTCCAGATAGGCATCGCCCAGATTTCCCGGACCCGGGCATTCAGGGTTCGGGTGTTAATGGTCCCTTGATAGGCATCTTATCTGGTGCCATCCTTTGGGCGTAGGGTCGTTGGCCACTTCCCGTCTTGGCAGCTACACCCTCCTTCTCATGCAAATGTCCATCTGCCTCGGTTTTGCCGTGTGTCTCCAGGCTGGATTTCTTAACCTGAATGGAATGAGAGGAGAAACCCCCTTCCCCTCTTCCCTTCCCCGGGTTATTTCATTTATATTATTTGATACACCATTTATTCCCATGAATTACTACCCGTATTTCTAACATACCTATCTGGGACTTGACTTCTTCTTTACTAACCTCGATGTTTTCATGTTGTTCCTCTACATGCTTGCATCTTGTTCCTTTTTCTCACAGGGGGGTGGATTGAAGCACTGAAAGGGTTAACATATTGCCTGGGCCTCACAGGTTACCTGACCCACCTGTAACTTGTGGTAGGACCTTAGGTGAGGTGTGGTTAATATCTAGTCAGCCAGGCCAGAACTCAGCAGCAGTACACCAGATTGTGTGAGGCGGGCTTCTCTTTCCCCCTGCACAATGATTGTGGCAGCTTCCACAGGGGTAAAGTTCCTGCACCGACCTGGTGCTGCTCCCAAGGCCCAGCGGGCTCAGCTGTGCCCCCGGGTTGGGGGAGGGGTGTAGTAAGCAGCTAGATGTTAGCAAGGTCAGCTCTACCTGGCCCGCGGCACCCCTCTCTCCTTGCCCTGCAGCGGCCCAGGGAAATGGGCCCCTTGCAAGGCCGTCCGGCCCGGCCGAGACAGAGGCCGGGCCAGCTGATGTTACCTCATTCCCGATTAGAAAAAAAAAGAGGAAATCCCCATGTTTCTTTCTTTTTTTAACATGTGTGTTTCACAGAAGCATGTGCAGTCTTCCCTGGTTGGAAGTTTTGCATCATTTCCCTAGATTTCCTCCTACAGTGGATGTGTACTGTAGTTTTGCAAGTACTGAGTCAATATAGTCATACCTGGTAGCTATATTGTTTGATGGATTTATTTTTACCAGGGTTTCCAGTGCTTTTCTTGGCTGATGTGATTCACAGCCCTAAAAATTTATCCTTTTCTGCCAAAGACTGTGTGTCTAAGGATTATTGGCAGGGTTGAAAGCTCTCGCATATGTACTTTACCAAATAGTGCAGAAATTTGTAAGAATTACATGAAATCAGGTGTGAACCAAAACTTTCCCTAGCATGGACAGTTGAGGGAGCACTACTTTCTCTCTGTCACAGAGCCAGACCCATAGCACACTCTTCACCAGTGAAGCCTTGACTAGCCCTTCAGCTAGAAGACTGTATTAACCAGGTTTTAGCATAAAAATGTGGACTCATTGAGAGATCCATTGCCCACTGAAGAGCAGATTGGCTCATAAAAGATAAAAGAACCTGTTCTTTTAATATCTAATAGAATCTCAACATTTAATTCAAGTGTCATTGTTTCAGGCTACTGCCTTACGTACTGTGGGGGTGTGCCTGAATTGTCTATAGTGCTGCCCTGTTCTTTGTCTTTCTTGAGTGGTACCCAACAATATAAATTAAATTATTCCTCTGAAGTGTTATTATCCTAGCTTTATCAAAATTAAACTTCATGTGTCCCAACTATCTTTTCCATTTTTATGTGTTTCTGAACTTCATCATGGTCTTTCCTAGCTTGGTCTAAACTTAATAAATTGACATTATTTGCCACTTCAGTAGCTTGTTCATTTTACTCAATCATTTAAAATTGTATTAAATGGTGGTCTTTGCTCTTTGAATGCACTCTTAACCTCTTGCAATATCTCTGCTGTAAATGGTTTAAGGTGATAAAGATTCTGATGTGAATCATCTAGGGAAGGAGAATGTTAATGTGAAAGACAATGACTGGAGTGTGACCTTGAGGTTCACAGAAATTAAAGCTTTTAGAAATAGTATCATTACAATACTGCCCTCATTAACCTCCCCACCTGAAAGAAAACACAACCCCTTCCCCCCTTACCCCCAAAAGAAGTCAATAAAAATACAAGAGATGCAGGCAAATGCTTAGGTTTTAATATTGACTTTTAATTTTTATATTTTACACAATGAAGTTACCTTCTTACCAGGAAATGGTGAAATAATTATATTTTTCTCCTCTTAAACAGTTTCTCTGTTGTTTAGATTTTGGAAGCACTGAAATCTCATCATTAAATATTTAAAAATAGGAAGTTATTGTTGAGGGTGGATTCAGGTCTGGTCTGATTCTTTGACTGGTCTTCTTCAGTATAAAAATGGACTCCAAAGTGTTCAGTGGCTCCTTCACGGGCCCACCATGAAAAAGAGTAATGTTCCAAGCCACCCCTGTTTAACAAATGCAGTACTAAACATGCCTGGGTAGTTACCATCTCCAGCAAAGAAATCCCGATGTTTGATCTCCAAGGCAAACATACCATTTGAACTGAAGGGATTGCTTTATTAGCTGCTACCATTAGCAGTCACCATCTCCTTTGTGAAGCAGCAAGCAACTAACCAGGGTATGGCAGACACTCCTGACCACCCAGAGAATTAAAAAAAATCTGGCCCATACACCACCACCACCAAATTTGGCATGTCCTAGAGAGTTATGCTTGAAATTGTTGTTCCTCTAAGAGGAAATGTATATCTGAAGCCCTGGCCTGGGAGTTCAAAAATCTGAGTTGAATACTCAGCTGTAAAGCAATAATCTGGTGTGAAGCTGGGAAGGCATTAACAATTAAATTATCAAATTTTCTTCTGGTTTCTGATCTTTGTGTTGCCCTCCTGTCTTGCCTTTGGGTCATCATACCTGTTTGCTTCATAGGCCCTTTGCAGGACAGTCAGGACTTAGGGTTATAATTTGTTTCATGTAGTTTTGTGTTGCTGTAACATTAATCCTCTGAATCTGGCTCAGGAGTTTAGAGTCATTCTGCCACAAATTCATTTGCATTTCGATTTTTTTTCTTTTTCCCCTTGCACTCTTTTTTTTCCTTTCTTTGGGTGTTTGTGCAAAGGCAGAAACAGCCAAATCTTTCCACCAGACACTGTGGTATGGAAAACTTGGGTGAAAATGTACAGATTGGTTACTCATAACTACCAGTGGTGTAAGAGAGAAAGCATTCCAGAATCAAAGCCCAATACACTTCATCACAGAAGTTGGATGTCATAATTTTTAAGTTTGAACCATTGATTTGCTTTCACATTTGAGTTTGCTTTAAAATTCTTTTCATCTTCCACACATTTCATGTATGTGCTGTTCTATTCCAGCTGGAAATTTATTTTTCATTATATTTTCAATCACATTCTTCATTTAGAGCCTTCTATTAGGCTCTTCTACTCCAATCTATTTGAGTGCTTCGTACAGACGCAGCTTGTACCTTGTAAGCCCCATTACAAATATCTATCGATGTAGGTTTTTTTTCCTAAAAAAAAATCAGGATTAGATGTTATTTGGCCTGTTGATAGCAAAGAATTAAACTGAGGGGCTCAAACTCCTAATACCTCAAGCTGTGGCCCCTGCTATATCTCATAATAAAAACAAATCCTGGAAAGCTGGGAAAGTTTGAAGACCAAAAAGGTGTAGCAAAATGGGGCTTTGGGTTTTGGCTTTATTCCTTCAGCTTAGCAATGAACCAGCTGCCTAACGTACTGCCTTGCTATTGTAGGGGCTTTTATTTCAAATGGACTGAAAAATTTTAGGCTTAAGTTATCCTTTATGACTTAAGGCAGTTAACTGTTGTAAAGCGAGGGCTGCATTGCTGCAGACTAGCAGCTAAACGAGACTGGTAACTCCAGGAGTCCGATGTCTTAGGTATTGGTTACCAGAGAAAGTGTGAAGGAGAAACACCTAAGCATCCAGTAATGAGTCTCATATGAAGTGCTGACCTTGGGATATCTCAAACCTTCTCCGAAGATACCAACACCACAAATATTAGTGCAGCCAGTATTTTATTTGCCTTTCCTTGCTTCCAGTAGCTGGTGCTAACTTAGCTTCAGAGAACAACCAAAGGAGGCAGATGAGGCTTTGGTTAAAAGACGAGCTGGGGAAGTATGTGTCTCACAGCTTTTTCTCTGAATGACTCTAGGTAACCTGAGACTGTGTTTGGGAAAATCTTTACTGAGTATGGCAGAAGGCAGCTGGTTGAAACTGAGTTCCTTTTGGATGCAAAAACTGTACCTGGGTTTAAAAAGTGATCACAAGAATCCATGGCACAATTCAAAGGTAAATACAGAGATACAGCCCTGGACTCAGACAGCCTTTCCATATTGCTAGAAGCTGGGACAGTGTGTGAGAGGGATATTACTGTGTGATACCACTGTCACTTTGCTTGTTCTTCATTGATAGGATTTGTCATCGGCTGTGGTTAGGAATGGACACACACTGAGACAGCACCCTCTTCTTAGCTACCATTCTTACTCCATATTTTTACCCTTCAGACTGTTTTAAGTTAATTGTAGTTTAAAACACCAAGATCACAGGAGATCCTTAAAGAGGATTTCAATTAATTTAACATGTCTGTTGGTGCTTCAGTTGACTACCAGACATTTTTCAGTAACTGATTGCACTCAATGTATTTTACAGTAACAGGTAGAAAGAAACAGAAGAGCTGTGCCTGTGGGTACATTGCAGGCGGGATGACCTGCAAGCAAGTAAACTGTGGCTTCAGAAGGGATAGAGTCTGAGTTAAGAGGAGGGACTGACTCTGTGCTGTAACCTGAGGAACAAGATGTTCTAGAGCCCGGAAAAGTAATTGTCAATGGGATGTAAGACTCTTAAGATGAGCAAGTTAAAGCCAGAATGTTCTTGGAAAGGATACTTCCTCTTACTGTACTAGGTTGTCTCTCCCAGGTTTCCAAAACTTCTCATTTCATAAAAAGAAGATGGTGGCAAGCAATTCTGCACTGTTAATTTGCAGGTATGTATTTGTTTCCAGAGACTACAAGGGAGGAGGGAAAGGTTCTAAACTGGCCATACTGTGATGTAGTTAATTTGGAGGGAGGGGGGGTCCCCAAGGAGTCCCCGGAAAGCCC